GGCGTATCCACTCCTGAACATTCTGGATGACGGCGTCGTCCACAAACCGCATGCCTTGCAAGTCTGATTTGAGCCTTCCGAACAGGCAGAAATCACTTGGTGCCAAATCAGGACTACACGGCGGATGCGTCAGAAGGTTCCATTTCAATTTCCGGAGGGTTTCCATTGTTGTTTTGGCTGTATGGGGGCGCAGTGTCTTGAAGGAAGGCTACCCGCTTTCCACCTCCCTTCCGCTTGGATCGGATCTTTTCCTTCACGTCTGTTGCCAGGAGGTCTGAGTAATAAGCTGCATTGACTGTTCTGGCATCTATCAGAAAGTCTACATGGATAACCCCCTGCCAGTCCCAGAAGAACGTTGCCATCACTTTTCCTGCTGAACAGCTCCTCCGCGCTCTCTTGGGTTTGGGAGAACTGGTATGCCGCCACTCGAATGATGATTGCTGGGACTCGGGAATGAAGTAGTGCACCCACGTTTCATTGGTGGTCACTATAGACTTCAAAAATACATCACCTTCCTCTTCAAACTGCTGTAGGAGGTGGCTGGCAACTTGCATGCACACAATTTTGTTCACGTCCGTTAAAGTGCGTGGTACCCACCGTGCATTCACCTTGAGATAGTGCAGGAGGTATTTCATGATGTCTTCTACACTGCCAACACTGATGGACAGTATTGCTCCAAGTTCCTTGATAGTGATGCACCTATTCTCACGAATAAGTGTGTCTGCACGATCAATGTTTGGCTTGGTGAAGGATGTTTGTGGCCGACGATCATGCGGTTCAATCTCCACACGCTCTCTGCCCTCTCTGAAGCACTTACACCATTCAAACACACGGGTCAGTGAGAGACACTCTTCCCCATACTGTTGTTGGAGTCTGTGGTTAATTTCAGCGGACGGGACGTTTTCTCCAACGAGGAATTTGATCACAGTGCTTTGTTTCACGCTCCGCGGTACCTTCTGTTCACTCATCACTCTAGCTACTTCCAGACAGGACTGAACAGGTTCTAACCCTAGTAGGAGGGAGGGTGGAGGTTGTGGCTTCACTCTCTCAAGGTCGCACAGCTGCTGCGCAGTGTGGCTTGTTTACAAAAAAATCAGTCCTGGTCATATTTGAACCACCTAGTATATTGGTAGGTGGTAGGTAGGTACATGCATCCCATGGATCTCATACAGCAGGGTGTGGAACAAGCCTGAGTGCTCCACAGTATATTATATTCAGAAACAAAATAGGATTACAAAGCATTAATCATGTACAAATCAATGCAACAGAATAAGTCATGTATACAATTGGAAAGTAATTTTACAGTGTGTTCATGGATAGCTGGGTCCATTATAAACTTAGGTATGACAGTCAGACACATAGTTGCAGTCACCCATTTCTTATCAATATATGTTTATTTACAGAGAAGGTGCAAGTCAAAAGAAATTTTTTCAGTGCCATTTTGAAATGTTTAAAGTTGGTAGATAAATATTTGATTCTTAGTGAGAGGTTGTATAATGTAGTAGACTTATTTGCAAGACAGATCACTGATGTCATGGGCATGTTCCCTAGAAGAAATAGCAACATGTGACTACTTGGGGCCGAGCAGCTGTAAGGAGGGCACAGTGTGACATGACAGCTGTAGGACAGAATGATGGAGCCAGAAAAGACCGCCATTGCTAGGCAACGGAGACTGAACCCAAGAATGACTGTACTGGTGAAGGCAGGCAGCAGTTTAACCGGTCAGCCGAATTAGAGCAGTTGTGAGTTTTCAGCCAGTTACCATCGAGCAAAACATGAGTGCGGAGGAATACCCATTCTTGGAGCCGTTACCTAACAACACTGGTGAAGACATCATCCTTAATATTTGGAGTGGCGATTTTTAGAGTGTGTAGGTTGGTGTAACTGTTTCAGTTACCTGTAATTGCACGTGTTCTATAATTCCAGTGCGGTCATCAGTGGATGACTTCTCTACTCAAGACACCTACTTAGAACAAATTTACTCCATATTACCGACAGTCAATTGTAAATATGCTATTAATTAAATAAAAAAATCCAATTATCAAGCCAAATCTAGGGACCAGCCACGAACACGTGACAATGTTATAACCATCAGCCCTGACACAATAAGATTGCGTTACTTAAAGACAGCAGTAAGAACATCGGATAATAAAGTGCGGATTATTAAAATTCGAAACTTCAAACTTCCCTCCTAAGCATATGATGTATAAAAGTGACTGCGTCATACCTCTCCTCGTGCTCTAACTCGCTCCAAGCTAACTAATCACTACCGATCACGGATCACTAAGTAGGAACGGTAGGAACATACATTTTTGATGCGAGTTTTACAGTTTTACTATCAAGGCGGTAGCTTCGGACAAGCAGGTTAACCAACTAAGTAAAAATGTTTCGATAAATTACGAAAGTAACGTGGCAACCTGACAACGTGACTTAATGAAAGTCGAACGAATTATACATAATACATAGTATTATTTGTATAGAGGAGAATGTTAGTCACAGATTACTAAACAGACTAGTTAATCGTTTACAGCCCAGTGGTACTAACACCACATGCTTAAACATACAGGGAATAAAGTAATAAAACAGCATTGTGCGTAGTGTGCTGTAGATTGTTTACGCTCTAAAGCGAGATTGTTTCAGTAAGCAGTATTAACCGATTCGTCTTTGTTACAGAGGGGTAATATGTATCCTGTGAGATGCGATCTGAATTTTTAGGTATTTGTAAGAAATTCAGTCTTCAAAGGGCTAATTATCAGAATGTAAGTAGGAATAGTTTTCAACGTTTGACATTCTAACCTTGTGATATATATCACTGAATGGTCTTACTACAGAAGTGGAACCACCAGTTGTTTACTTGTTTATCAACTGTCGAAGTTGACTTCCTCGTAATTTTCCGAATTGAATGAATTTATAAATATGCCTCATCAAATTTTGATGAAACCGGAAGTAGCCGCCATATTTGTCACCACCTAAATGATTTGCCAGAAGGAAAGGGGTTTGTCAATGATAGTGTATAGTTGTGGCTGTTAGGTATTTATAAATTTTGTGTTTCGTTTGCAAGTTGAATGGATTACTCCTACACCATTTAATTGGCAGGTAATTGCTACTGATTTGTGGTAATAATTTTTCGTACTTTGGCAAGCTCATCGCATTGAGACCAATTTCGTAGTTACATATACGAAATTGTAATGGGCCGAAAAAGGTATTGTCTGTTATAGAAGTAGTATAGACACGAACATTGTAAGTATATTCAGAGACCAGAACTGCTTTGAAAATATTCACGTAAGTGATGTATGCCATGCGTATTAATCAGTGCTCATAGATACGTACAAAATTGAAGGTTGACAGGAATTTTGACACAGATTGTGTGTAAGAGTTGTCAGTGCAGACCAATACATAGTACTTGATTCTAATATATTATTCGTTGCAGTTCTTGAATGGTCCAGTTTTCAGTTTAATGTTCAACTACCGTTATGCCAAAGGGATGTCATAGTTTATAGTATCCGGTTTTCAGTTGCTTGTTATACTACCAAAAATAATTTATTTGGAATTTGTTATGTTATATCTGACAAACTTGACCTGTCAGGGAGTGCATGGTTAGTGTGACTAGATTCTGTGTCCTATCTAACACTTTTTTTGGGGGAGGGACATGTAAACAGTTTCTGATGGCACATGCTTCATGCATGAGGTTCTAGCTCTGTGATGTCATATGATGCCTTGTACATGATGTAAGATGTGCACATCATGGGAGTTTTAGATTTTACCTTACTGCTTTTGTGTTAAGACTGAAGTAGAGCTAGCTGTCAAAATATTGTACATACTTGATTTGGTTCATCCTGGTCTATCACACTAGCAACAGCATCAAATATTAGCAACTCTGTCCAGTGTGATTCATCAAACAGTGGAACCACAACGTGGTAGATACTCATCTTCCTTTAAAGAGAGGCAGTATAAAGGACACGAACCAAATTGGTTCCAGATTTTAACAAAGTTTTTAAACCACACTTGTAAATAAACCAGTTAAATCAATTTATAAATATTTTAATGTAAATAATATCGAAACCAGTACCGTGATAAATGATTTCATATTTTTGAGCTAATGAATGAACCACTTACTTGACCTTGCGTGGGTTTATTGTGGTTTCAACTCGAAGATCAAACTGTCACCACTCTCAAAGAGTGCAGGTGTACTGCAGTTAGATAAATCTAACATTCTGGCACAGCAGAGCGTTAGTTGCTATTAGATGTATCTAACATTCCTATGTTAAAGGTTAAGATACCACTGGCCACAGCTGTCATATTCTTCGAACCTCAATAAAGCTAATCCTTGTAACCACTGTGATTTGCTTACACTTGAAAGTAAATTAAACATAATGTGCTTGGTATAAAACTGATTTCATTTCCCTTCTTTATCCATGTATATTGCAGGATACCAGCACTGTAATGGTTATGTATCCGTGTCTGAATTTTCATTCTTACAACAGCTGTTTCTGAGAACTGGTAGAAAGCTGATAGAAATGGGACATGGTCATTGTTGTAGAGTTACAAAGCTAAATTAGTAATAATTTCTCTCTGTGTACTTTCATGGAATTCTTATATTGTACATTGTTATTTGCATTTTTATTTTATGTATAATATTTTAGTAGGTGAGGGGGGCATACTTCATGCAGTGGGTAATTACCCATGTAATGTATTTGAAGGGAATGCATTATAGAATTTCTGCAAGGCGCTCCTACCTGGTGGTGGCGAAGTGAATGTATGAAATATAAATTAGCTCATGAAATTGCCATAGCTGGTGGCGGGAACCATGATTTGGATCCTGCTTCAAAACAAGCAGGTAAATAGTGGTTGCAGGTATTCATGAAGCAAAATCAAGTAATACATCTGAGGAAACATGAACCCATGAACTTTTTAACAGTATCTACTGCATTCATTGAGGTGAAAGTAAATTGTTTTGACCAATCTTGAATCAGCACCTAAAAAACAACTTGTGTGAGAATTAAGTATGCAGTTTTGGCAAGAGAGGCATAAGTACTATCCAAAAATCTGACATCATGGGTCTAAAGTAACAGTAGTCTGGCTGGAGCAGTTGTTTCCTTCGAGCATGGCAAGAGTGACTATTGTTTGTGCCTAAAGTGTGTGATAATTTTATACCAACAGTGTTCATTTCTCTGGAAATGTATATGTCTTTTCACCTTCAAAACAATGGACCTATTGGACTGAAGTATGCATGTTTCAGAAGTGGCTGGTTCAGTGCTAAATTATTTTTTCAGTGGCTTCATCATTTCACAAGTTATGTGAAACAAAGTTAAAATGAGTCCATGCTTCTTGTGCTTGATAATCGTACAAGCCACATATCCCTTAGAATTTTCAGCTGTTGTTACAATAATGTAGTAGTTATGCTCTCTGTTACTACTTATTCATCTCAGCTGTAGCCTATTTAAAAGTTCACTTAACAAGTAACTTAACGTCTTCATTCCCTTTAGATAAATAACCCACTGTGGCTTGACTGAAATATTCAGTAAGGCATACCTCAGAGTAGCAGCTACAGAGAGAGGGTGGTGTGGGTTCTGAGCTGAAGGAGATTGTAACTTAGATTCTGGAAAGTTTACTTTTCATGAGAGTGAACCAGCTATAGAATTCAGATGGATACTGAAGCTGAATGTGGCAAGGGAATCTCGACCTGAGACAACAGAGCAGACACAACATGGGATGCCGAGAGAATTGTAACCCCAGATGCAGAGAGAATTTTGGTCTGTGACATAGAAACAGTTTCTTCATGGAAATAAAGTTCAGTCCAGAACATTAAAGAATTTCAATATTGGATATTGAAGGAATCTTTTTGGGTCACCTGAAGAATTTCGGCCTAGGACATTTAAAGAATCTCCCCCTTGTTAAAAGAATTTTCACCTGGGACTTTGAAAGAAATTCACGTTGGGACATTACAAATATCTCAACCTGGCACTGTTATAAAGAAGGATATGTCTTCAGGATATGTTGACCCTGAAGATAATGATGGTTAGTCCAGTCCCTGATCCCTTTCTTGGCAACTCCAATTGAAATGCCGCAAGCTGGTTCAGGTCTTATGAACGGTTGTTCAGATCCTGTTCTTGCCAGCTGATCTGTGGTTTCATTCCCACTTCCAGTCCTACCTGGTTCCTTTGGCCCTTTCTAATGACATACTTGAGCAGTTGAGTGATGACAATGAAGGAACATCCTTGTTTCAGACTGTTCTCACGTTCCTATAGTTACACTGAAACATTTTAATTAGCCAAATTAGTTATATGAGAATACCAGTTTCAGTGATGATAATGTACAGTACTTCTCTATTAACTGGATGGTTAGGCCTTGTTATTAATGTAGTATCACATATAACTCATTGTGTGTGTAATTATAGGTATGGAATCTCTTCCCTTCTGTGACTTTAAGAGAGATAAGCATGTAACTTAAATTTCTCCAACAGCAAACCCATTGCCAATTCATGAAAATTGTGTCAACTCACCTTTCAAGTCTTAGAACTGCTTGTAAATGGCCAAATTTTGCACAAACAAGAAAGGCAAGAGAGAGAATGAGATGCACTCCTCTGATCTTAGTAATCAGGTATATTATTTGTATATTGATATAATGTAAGACTTTTTTTTTACAGGTGTAATATATAGAACATCCAACGGAGTGGTACGCTTAATTGGTTGGAGACGACTTAACTGTAAGTGTGGCAAGTTTTTGTGGTGGGCTTCCTTCTTTTCGACATGTTTGAGTAGGTATGATAGAGCTGTTATCTTTACCACACAATACTCCTTGGAAACAAGATACCTTATCTCAGGCTGCTCTCTGATAAAACGTTTTTGGGTCTTATAATGGCCTCTTGTGAGACACTAGTCTCTGTTTTTGGTAAGGAGTTTAGTTTGTGTCCATTTTTGTGGTTATACCCTTGTCATTATGGCTAAAGAATTTATTACTTGTCTTCTTGTAGACTAGCTCTGAATATCCAGGAAAAGTATTCTGCAGTGTAGTTGATGGAGCAGGAAGTATCAGGAAGTATTATGGATAGCTAGTTTGGCTTGTGGGCCGTGCCATAGCTCAAGTGATTAGTCACTGGCTTCCCGCTGCGGCGGCCCGGGTTCGATCCTGGGTCTGGTCAAGTGGGATTTGTGGTGGACAAAGTGGCACTGGGGCAGGTTTTCTCCAAGTACTTCAGTTTCCTCTGCTAGTCATTCCACCAATTGCTCCACAATCACCCTCACCTATCATCTGGGGCTGGTACAATAGGCAAGAAGAGGCCGTAGTACAAGGGACTTAGTCCCACCCCACTAGCAATAAGAAAATAGTTTGGCTTGTTTGTAATACTTGGAAATCATATGTTCTCATGGAGTACACGGAGTTTGATGAGGTGACAAGTTAAAATAAAATTCAAAGAATATGCACAGATCTGTATATGAATATATGACTATGGATCTATATTATGTTACATTTCTGCTTGGTCTTGATGTGAGAAGTCTGTAGAGTTGTTCTAATATGTTCTTTAGTGGAATGAAAATGCTTGGGAAAGTTAGATGATCAATGTTAGGAAGCTGAAAATATTTGTTACTCATTGACTTTGGGTAATGAATTATGTTGAAGGTAAAGTAAATATTAATGGGAATTTGATGTTTGAATGCTGTGGTTGTGAATCATTTTTGTCAGTAAACCTCGTAGGCTAAAGTAGTTCTATAAAACAGTCAATGTAGGAAGTTGAAAATAAAGGGAAAAAGAATAACTTATTGTGGATTATTTCATTGAGATTCTTACTTAGGGATAAACTGCTGGTTAGTGTTTGGTGTAATTGTTTTGGTCTTTTAATTTGTATAGTAATACTGATGCTGCTGCAACAGCATATCAAGAAGGATTCTTCCTCATGGTGTGAATTACTTGATTTTCTTTTGTGATTGAGCTCACTCCTGATCTCTGTTTATGGATTGAAATGTATGCATTATGTAATATATTTATCCAGTATCACAGATTAACCCTGTATGTATATAAAATCATGAATGAAAATTCCATGCATGTAATACTTGTTAACAGTCACTGAAATAAAACATGGTGACTGAGCATCATGTATGTTTCATTTTTGCCGTAGATGCGGAGGCAGAAGGAAGATATGCAAGTCAACGTGGCGGGCTTAAGAAGAAATATTAAGAACCTTGCGCACAATTACTCGGATGCGCAGGTAAAAGTTCGTGAAGCAACTAGTAATGACCCATGGGGCCCAAGCAGCACCCTCATGTCAGAGATTGCTGACCTGACATACAATGTGGTAGCCTTCACTGAGATCATGCAGATGGTATGGAAGCGACTCAATGACCATGGACGTAATTGGCGGCATGTTTACAAAGCCCTTGTTCTTCTAGAATACCTCATTAAAACAGGTACAGAAAAGGTGAGTGGCAAGTGTTGATTTTAACCTCTATTTTCTTTTCTTTTTTTTTTGCCTTTCCATAAAAATGAATTGATTGATCTGGCAGTCTAGGTTCTGCTGCACTTTGCAAAATCCAATCTGACATGGCTTTTGTTGAGGTGTATTTAATATACATAGCATTTAAATAGTTGGTTCTTATAGAATGCCTCTTTAAAACTGATGTAAAAAAGATTAAAAACAAATTTCAGTTTAACTCCATGATTTGATCTTTCTAACCCATCTCTCTCAGCAAACTGATTGAGCTGACAAGGCATTTTTTGCTAAACCACAATAACACATGCTTGCTTAAGGTGGTGATCTTTTAGTGCTTCTGCAGGAGAGCCTCATAGGAAAACATATATGAATTATATGAATGAGGTTCTTCAGTGCACTGTATCAGTTACACAGTCTGTTGAATTACGAAGTATAATATTGTTACGGTGATTGGGATGGATGTGGAAGGTTGATGTTTCTAAGATGCAGTAAATATTAACTTCTGCACCTTGTCAAGACATCAGGATACCAGGTGAAAGAGAAAGAGAGACAAGTATGTTTCATAGTCAGGAACCATGAACTACAATCATAGCCTTGATACCTATGAATTAAAGCTATAATTCCCCATGGAGAGATACTACAGCAAAGGTGATGATGTTGGGAATTGTAGACAGTAAGTGTGAGAAAGAAGGAACTCATAATATGCATGTTCCCAAAATTTATGTTTCACATGTTTGCTTGTAACAACTATATGAAATAAATACATAAAATCACATTTTATTTGCATGCATGTTTCACTTTTGGGGATCATCTGAGATTCAAAGTCGTTTTCCTTCTAGGTGAATAAATGTTTACACACTGTCATCATTTGATTTGCATGCATGTTTCACTTTTGGGGATCATCTGAGATTCAAAGTCGTTTTCCTTCTAGGTGAATAAATGTTTACAACTGTCATAATTTCATTTGCTTGCATGTTTCACTTTTGGGGATCATCTGAGATTCAAAGTCGTTTTCCTTCTAGGTGAATAAATGTTTACACACCGTCATCATTTGCTCATATATCATTTTGTCTTCCTTGAGTCAAGGCAGCCTTAATCGTAAATGCAGCCCCAGGCTGTAAGAAGCTCTTCAAGTTGGTTGGTTGGTTTGTTGGTTAACATGTTCATAGACGCATAAGATTTTAACGATTGGTCTTATTTCAGGTTGCTCAGCAATGTAAGGAAAATATCTTTGCAATCCAGACTTTAAAGGATTTTCAGTATTTCGAAGAGAGTAAGGACCAAGGGTTGAATGTACGTGAGAAAGCAAAACAGCTTGTGTCACTGTTGAAGGATGATGAACGTTTACGCAATGAAAGAGCACGTGCACTGAAAGCTAAGGAGCGCTTTGCTCAAGCAGCTTCAGGGTTCGGAAGTGAGGGAATGGTATGTGAAGTTTCACTAGTGTTGTCCTTGTTATAGAGACATTGTGTTTACAAGGTCATTGCACTGCTTACTCTCAAAAACCTTCTCAAGGGTCCTTCATTTTATATCGTTTTACAACATCCATTTGCATATATTCAGGTCATTGTTAAAATGTTAAATATTAAAGTTATTTTTTGAGTTTTCATAGATGCAGTATGTGTTTTTTCATTGAATGTTTGTTTCTTACCTATTGTGTTGTGTCATCTAGTCTTTTCAGTGTTAAATTCTCTCTCCTGGCATGGAATTCTTTCTGCATATGATCTTATCATCTTGTTTTTTCGTTGTTGAATTTTGTGTTTCGATATTGGACTACTACTTTGCTATGACCTTGTATTGGTTGGTTAGCATGCTGTTACTAGAGAACATGTGGAACAGTCCACAACAGCTTTTTAATAATTACGTTATATTTTTGACCTCATTACCAACATAGGTGAATATAACCCACTATTTGCCATTGTTTTGGTTGAGTTCATCTTTCAGTTTTTGTGAGGTCCATGTTTTTTTTTTATGTTTTGAGGACTGTTATCCTTTTTCCAGTGTATTGATTGCTGTGTAATATCTGCTTAATTGTGCTCCTTTTTTTTTCTGCAGGCAACTAAATATGTACTGAGTGTCTACGTAGGGTATTTTATGCTAGCTCTTTATGTTCTGAATGGCAAGATATGGTATAAGTAGCTGTAGGCTTTCTCAAAAAATCAGACACAGACTTACTGTTCATAATGGTTATGTCCAGGAAATTAATGTAGTTTTCTTTCTGTATTCTTAATTCTAATTTTGAGTGAATGTGGTTAAATTCTTTTAGCATATTTTCAGTGTTTGTTTCCTGAGAGCTTTATACTGTCAGACTGTCATCAAATTTGTACTACCCCTTTATTTTGTATGAAGTATTTTTAATATTCTTACATGACAGCTGAAAGCAGAATAGTGGACCCAGAAAAGAAATTTGTTGCTAGGCAGCGGCTGGTAAACACATTTCTACTGCAACCAATAAACATACTTTCATGTCAACAATACTTGGGCCATTGCTAGGCAACAGCTGCTTAACACATCACTCAGCAATGAAGGAATTTTTGGAAGCCATGTTTTCTATGCATTCTATGCCAAGGTTATATAAAGAGGACACCAGCCAAGTAGACAGCCAGTCCAGTGAAAGTGTTATAATTATTTTTAGTCATGGGATGTAAGCATCCAAGAAATCCAGCTGTCAGACCAAACCCCATAACTAGTCACTAACACATGACAATATGTTTTTATGTTTCGTATACTGTAGGTAAATTTTGGCTAACGAAACTGAAGTTTGGGCTCCCATAGCCAAGCCTTTTTGTTTGCAGTATTAATTGTTGAATTGGAACCAGTTTTTTGTTCTGGCACTGTGAACTAGTTTACCAAGTTCGTGAGTGTGTTTTATAAGTTGGGCTGATTCTGATTCTCGTTGTAAAATGTTTGTTGTGCTGTTTTTCATTATGTTTGTGTACAAGTACACATTTTAGTGTGTTTGTTGACATTGAAATTCTGTAATTCATCCTTTAGTTGTGGAGAATTCTTGACATTGACTGCATTAGGTAGATGAAACGTATTTTTTATTTCATGAACTCTTAAGCTTTTCAAGTTTGTATAAGGCAAAACTACAGCAATGTATAGTAGGGTCAATTCATTATTAGATTTGTGTAATTAATGGTTTAGCACTGGGAGCTCTGGATTTAGGTTTATTACTCCCCCCCCCCAATAGTATTGCATGTTTTGATGCTTCAGCTAACTAGGTGTTGCATTTCTTCAGTCCTAGCATTTTCACCCATGTTAAATACAGCTGACAGCCCTGTAGTACCGTGAGATTTAAAATTTGTTGTTCCAGAATGATAAACTTTTGTCCTCCAGTTAAACATAGCCACCAATCCCATACTGTAGGAGATTTTAGTCCCTTGCTTCCAGGTTACCAAGTCTGGTTGGGATGGTTCTTTGTAGGCAACTATCTCATTGAAAGGCTTTCATTAACAGAACTGGGCTTGAAGCATTGATTCACTAATGTGTACTGTATCGCCTCCAAATGACGCTGTGGTTTGTTGTTTTCCTGTTGGTAGCTAACACTGACATCTGTGTTTTGTTGTTTCTGTGCAGGACACTGTCTCTCCATCGAGCCCAAGTTTTCCTGCTGGTGTGAGTGTTTTATTTTGGTTTCTCTCTTTGTTGAGTAGATATCATATGTATTAATGTAAATAAAATACTTGTGTCTGAGAATAAACTTTTGTAACTGGTGTTGGGTATATAATAAATATAGATAGGGACCAGATGCTTATGTTTTTATGAAATTTACAACTCATTTGGTTGTAAGTACACTGAAGGAAACTGTAAATATGTACCTGTGGTTTATACTAAGACCCAAATATGGTTTAAATATTTAAGAAGGATATATCTTTGGACCAGTGGAAGCAAATGGAATATAGAGGAAGAGGTATAACCATGAGCTATACAAACTATTTAATGAACCAGACATTATTGGATTTATAAAGGTGAAAAGTCTTGAATGGGCTGGACACAATATGTGCCAGAGAGAATAGAACCATCAAGAAAATACTTAACACTAAACCAGAAGGAAATAGGAAAGTGGGAAGACCAAGACTAAGATGGGAAGAATGTGTGTGGCAGGACATAAGAATTTTGGGCGTAAAGAACTGGAGGAATGTAGCATCGAATGGAGAAGAATGGCAAGCAATCCTGAGGAAGGCCAGGGCTCACAAAGGGCTGTCGTGCCAGTGGTGATGATCTAGGAAGGATAGAAAAATTACATATCTCAGGAATAATTCTTTTTTAATATAAGCCTAATGGGAAGAAAGAAAGAAGTGTCAGTAGTCATAAGTAGACTATTTTTATTGTTTTTATACTTAGATTTTAAAATTTTAAAATTTGACAAGCTTTTAATGCCTTTCATAGGACAGGCCAAAGAACCTTATCCATGAAGATATGTGATTCTGTTTAGTCTGGTAGAATGTTAGCAGCATTTCAAAGGACCCTGCAGCCATCATCGTTTAGGCTGAAGATGAATGATTCGGGTTCTAAATCACTGCTAACAATCTGCAAGGGTACATGGCATCATATCCTAAAAGATAGTAATCTTTATATTCACCACCATGAGAACATACTTTCACAGTTTGTACCTTAATTACCAAGAAACATGCATTTGGAGGAGAAAATTTAACAGCCAGTCTTAGTAATACATCAAACTTATATCTCCTTTTATCTCCCCTATTAATTATATCTCGGTCATTGGGCAAGCTGCGTAATGAATGATTATTGATTATTCCAGCAGTGACTTTAAGAAAGATTCTGGTGGTAGCTGCTGGAAGAGACAAATGTGATGTAATTAACAAAGCAAGGGCAACGTTATTTTTAAAATAATTGAAGGTCTTTGTTGGAAGGCTAATGCAAATTATTATAAAGTAGAAGTTCTCAGCCTTTCCTGATTCACAGTCCAATAAAATAACAGTGGGTTTTCTAAGGGTCAGTTTCCAATTTCATATAGTCTACGGTACAAATAGTACAGTAGTCTACAAATTAATTTATTGCTAGCATGATTCTCTGCAACATAAAGTGAATGCTTTTATAAACAAAAACTCCGTGTCTTGTAGTCTGCAAGTGAACTATACCGATCGAGTGACTCTTGCTTGTTGGCTAAGTTAGTGCCAACTTTAGCGGATAGAGGGTCTGTTGCTTTAAAATTGAAGAGAGATAACTCTGTACGGTCAGTTTCCCATGTGAGACTTGTGTCAGAAGGCATATAAAATAATTTAATTTCACAGACATGTTTATCTTTCAACAGCTGAGGATCTGTAATGTGACTCCACATCCTTCTTTTGACATACAGATATACCAGAAGTGCATGTCCTCTTCCTCAGCCAGTTACACTATGAAACACCACAAAAGGGGTAATGTTAAGCACAAACTGTATAGCTGTTAAAAAGGTAAAGTTCTCGTAATGCTTAATTAATTAAGCACCACACTGTGAAGGTGGAGACTGGATGTATAGCTCCACCATTCTTGACCTTGGCACTGGATGGAAGTGAGTGGTCTGCTTTAGACTGTGACTGCATTAAGCCCAGGGAAAAGCTTGTGGTATCAGTTGGATAGGTGGCTGGGAGGGCCTCTACCTCCTGCCAGGAATCAAACCCCAGCCATTCAGCTCATAGTTCATAGCTCTACTGACAGAGCTGTCCCACCTTTCTGTATAGTTATTAAAGGGGAGTGTGAAATTAAAGAAATTAATAAAATATTAATATTTCCAGTGGAGTTAAGAAATAACACCTGGAAAAACTGGATTTTGATGGGCCTAAAGCATTGTCTCTGTGAGTTGCTGTGTTTCCCTGCTTTGTCCAGGACATGGTAAATGTAGATTGTACAGATTTGGTCTTACTCCATGCAGCTCACTTGATACTTAGCACACTGGTACATTTCTACTTGTGAAAAGGATGGTAAGTAGTATCTGATGATTTGCATGGATTAGGCTTGGGACCACTGATAGAGAAATAATAATATGAATTATGTATTCACTTCATTGGGAGATAACACATTTCTGGCTAGAGATATTGGGTGTTCAGACTGTATCCATCGTCCTGGTTTTAAGACAACTAAGAAAAACATGAGGTTTCAGAAACTGGATCTGTTTCCATCCTCAGGTGAGGGAAAACACCTATTCTGTTGGGTCCACTAGAAAGAGCTAGCCTCAATCACTGTTGGGTCTAATGAACCCAACAGAATTTCCATTTCATTTTTATGAAGCACCATAAACGTGTTCTTGGGATATAATGCTGTGTAGTCTTATGAAAGGCAACCAACGTTTCAGAGATACACAATGCCTATGTCTTCAAGGTTGAATAAGCTAAGCAAGAAACCAACATTAAGCGGCACCCAGCAGAGCTTTGATCCTTAAGATGGTGAGATGTTCTCTGAAACATCAGTTGATGTTCACTAGACTGTGCAGTGTTAGATGATTATCCCAGAAGAAAAATCCTCTCTGTAGCCACAGGTGGTTAGAACATTAGATCCAACATAATCATCTGGTCCTTAATGCTAAATTTAAAATTAAATACTTTACACAGTTGACTGAAACTTATAAGATTAACAGCTTTCACGGCAGCTAAAAGTAAGGAAATGTTGTGTAGTTTCGCTTTATACTTCTAATCTTAACATTTTATAATTTTTTTTCAGTTCCAAGGTAGCTGGTCATCATGTGAAGTAGAGCCAACATCCAGAGGTAAATATTATATTTATGGAAGCAATAATTATGTGTTGATATATTTAATTAACATTTGCCTCTCACTTGTGAGGAACTTTTGTTCCATGTTGTAATTAGGGTTTAATATATATATATGTAGTAAGTGAATTGTGAACACAAATAGTCTGAGAAATACAAGAATGGAAACTTGTACTTCATGGAGAATTACACATGACTGCCATAGGCATTCTTTGCTGCATTTATGATCTTAGAATTAATATTCAGAGGTATTGCTCCTTTCATTAAATTGTGTGTCTTTTAATGCTTCACATGTAGATTGAAGATGGTTGAAAAAAAGAAATTGGGAATATTTACTCCTACAAGAGATATGTGTACAGAAGGATGGAATATGAAATAAAGAGCTTCATACTTTTACTTTTTGAAATGTGTTATTAGGATGAGACAGACAAGATATGTAGCATGCAGAGGACCTGAGAAGTATGTACAAAATACAGACCATTGATGAAACTTACAAGTAGATAGAAATATAATATTAAAGTAGGTGTTAAAGAAATGTGTTGTGGCCTGGATAGGATGTAGTGGCATTGTTAGGCTTGTGATTGAACCTTCAGGTTCCATGAAAAGCAGAAGTGTTGTGAGGACATGAGTGACTGTGGGCTTCCCAAAGGCTGTTCCACAAAGGTAGTGCCTTGAAACTGAAATTTGAAACCTTCATTAAGTACACACTTCTTTACTATACTTTCCAAGTACAATCTTAACTGAGGGGGGAACTACATTTTGGAGCTGTTATTTCTTACTGATGGTTTTACATATATACCCTTTGTGCAAATATCAGCTTTTCTCTTGCATGCAGAGTGAGTTGTAATTACATATCTTAAATATAAATCTTAGGTTCCACACTTTGCAGGCAGAGACATTCACATAAATCTCTAGCGCTAACAACTTTGTTAACAAGATCTGGCAACATTGCATGTCATAACTGCAAGGTACTTCATTAGAGATAAAACAATCACTCTGTCTACAGACTTGCACAAGGTTACTGCTGTTGATGTTCTGGTGATGTGGCATTCACTGTGGCACGCATATTATGTATCAAAGAAGGGCACGAAATATGCAGTACTCATTCAGCAAATTGGCAGATATGATGTAGCTGTACAGAGATGAAGAACGTAACGGTACAGCTCTTAACCCGTTGCCGTGGTTCGTCGTGTATGTTTCGTCAGGGATTTAAATCGTCTGGGGGGGTTCGACGTGTATGTTTCGTTCAGCTGCACACCTATGTTATAACGCCCATAATAATTGATGGTTTTGCTGTAGATTGTTAGATTTTTCGCTGGCCTGTTGTCAGTAGAACAGAGTATAAATAAGACACGACTTTATCTGCGCCAATTCATCGTTACATATGCCTGTCTTGCAGCAAAGTTCCTGTGG